AGTATTCTGCATTCAAGTATGATCCTAATTCAGTTTCGAAATAAAATTCCGCGCATGCAGATATGACAAATACTCAGTTTTACCACAAACTAAAAAGCGAATGTTTTTTGCGGATTCCATATTCTCTTGCGGTTAAATTCAAATTTGCGTCTTTTATGCATTTTTGCACTTATGCAAATTGCAACCCAGGCCGGAACGCACCGGGCAAGCCGATGCGATCATGCGTTTTTGCATCAAACTTGATGTAATTAGGTTAACTGCATGAACGGCTGTTTCTTCAAACCTATCTTGGCGCTCAGTATCGCAAATCATCGTAAATTTTGCATAAAAGGAAATAAACAATTTCCGTTTAGCGGTTTTACAATTTAACAATTTCCCGCTAAAAAATTTCGCGAGCCGTACGTGAGAGCCCGGCATACCTGGGGAATGAATTTGACAACTTTAAGTCGTAAGTGGATCGGGAACATTCCCTGAAAATTTCAGCCTACCGGCTTTGCTAATTCCCGAGTTAGCCACTTTCTCGCCAAAAAAATTTCGCGGGACGGCACTTGAGAACCGCGCATGCCTGGGGGATGAGTTTGATAATTTTAAGTCGTACATGGGCTGGAAACATTCCTGAAAATTTCAGCCTCCCAGCTTTGCCAGTTCTCGAGTTAGCCATTTTCCCGCCGAAAAATCTCACGGAGCCGCATGCGGGAATCACGCACACCTGGAAGCTGAATTTTAAATCTTTCAGTTATGGGTGGACGGGGAACATAACCTCAAAATTTTAGCTTTCTTTCTTTTTTCGTTCCCGAGTTATCAATTTTCCCGCCAAAACTTTCTCCCGCCCTTGTACGCGGGGTCCAGACTTGCGTGAGGGTTGGTACCGCCGTTCTGGGTGGCACTTGGCCAAGGAACCTACTAGTAAAATTTTGGTGCTGGAGCTTGCTTGGTTGCCGAAATGAAGTACCTGGACAGACGAACACACACACACACACACACATACACACAGGTTCGTCGCAATATGCGTTTTTATGCGTTTTTTGCAGCTATGCAATGCAAAAACGTATATTGTCGAGGGTTGTCTGTGTGTGTGTCCGTGTGGATATGTATGTGTGTGTCTGTGTGTCTGTGATATGTGTGTGTGTTTGTGTGGATATGTATGTGTGCGTGTCTGTGTGTTCGTTTGTAACGAATTTTCATCTCGAGATCCATAACTACAAGGATGAACTTTAGTAACTTAATCTACATATACGCGCGGGATCCAATCCTCAAAATGTGAACGCTCGGCTCCATGTGGTTCTCATGTACGGGCACATGAAAGTCTTTTGGCGGGAAAACGTTTTCGAAAACGGCACATGCTAGGATGCTGGAACTTCACAGAGTTGTTCCTTGGCCGCGTCTAAACCAAAGACTTCAAATTCAGCCTTCACGCACCTTCAGAACTCACATACGCACACGTCAAAGTTTAAACTGGCATCATGCCAATTCCAGATTTAAGCTGAACAATAAGCTGTAGAGAGCTGCAATTCTGCAGCATTACTTGTCGCTCACTGTGTGTCCGTGAGAATAAATTACTTATGAGCTCTTCTGCATCTCACGTACGGGCACGTGAAAATTTCACGCATGCGCTTTGGAACTTTAGAACTGAACCAGCCAGAGAACCTGAACTTTCTGAGCATAACCGACGGTGGCCTTTGACCAGATACACACAAAAACGACTTACACATCACTTTCACGTCTCATGTGCTTTTCACGAGTGCACACGTGAAATTTGACGTTACTCCGCAACCAGAGCAGCTGGAATGCTGAAACTTTCTGAGCGCTACCCAGGACCGTGTTTGGGCATTCGCGATCGATGGAAGCATCCACGTTGCCACTCACGTGCGAACTCGTGAAATTTGACGTAACCCTTCAACCGAGGCATCGAGAGCGTTGGACTTTTTGGGCGTGGATTGGGAGTCATTGTAATAATTTCTAACAGTCGTGGTGGCCAGTCACAATTCTTTTAGCTAAAACCATCTGCCGGGAAGAGCGTGCCATTGGCGAAAAAAACTTGCAGGGGAACTGTGCAAGTAAATAGCAACGCGTATCAGATTAGCCGGTGTGATCATGCGTTTTGTATAATTCAGCCCATCGAACGATTGCCTATTAATGATTTTCACTGCTTTGTAGTCTATACAGAAATAGTTCAAGCATTGAAAAATAGTTAAAAATTTCACACACCTACGCATGAAAGCTGAATTCGAAACTTTGAGGGGTGAATATCTTTCAGTGCTTCCCGAGTTAATAGTTTATCGGCCGAAATTTTCACGAGGCCGTAGGTGATACTCAAGAGCGCGGGAACGCTGAATTTGAATAGGCAAGGTTGATCGTAGGCAGGGGGTTATACCCTAAAATTTCAGCCTCCTAAATTCCGTGTTCCCGAGATATTAATTTACCCGTAAAAAACTTTCACGGGGCCATACCTGTTACCCGCCGGAACGGGAAGGCTGAAATTGAATAGGAAGGCTGAAATTGAACGTGTGCAGGGGGTATTATCCTAAAATTTCAGCCTCCTAGACTCGGTGGTTCCCGAGATATTAATTTACCCATAAAAAACTTTCGCGGGACCATACGTGTTGCCCGCAGGTACGGGGGAGCTGAATTTAAATTTGCAGGATCACGCGCGCGTGGAGAACTTTTCCCTAAATTTTCAGCTTCCTAGCTTTTGTGGTCCCTGAATTAAAGTTGCGGACAAGCTGCTGCGGACACACACACAGACAACCCCGTGACAATATACGTTTTGTACTGCTGGTTACACAGCACAAAACGCATAGAAAAGCATCCTCGTATCGGCAGCCGGTACGCTTTCGACTAAGTTGCAATCTACATATGGGCAAAAAAGCATTTTGCGACGACCCTGTCAGTGTGTGTATTTGCGTGTATTTTTGTGTGTGTGTTAGTCTGTCCGGGTATTTCAACTCGGTATCCAAGCAGGCTCTGACGCCAAAGTTTTGCCAGTTGGTTTTCCGGCCAAGTACCACCCTTAGGCCTCGGTATCAACCTTGATGTACGTCTGGGTCCCACGTGCGAGAGCGTGAAAATTTCGGCGGGAAAACTGCTAACCCGGGAACGAGAAGAGCTAGAAGGCTGAAATTTTGAGGTTATTTTTCCAGCCCAAATGGAACTTAAACATTTTAAATTCAGCCTCCAGGCATGTGTTGTTCATACGTACGGTCCCATAAGGGTTTATGGTGTGAAAATCGTTAGCTTGAAGACCAGGAGCGCTAGGAGGCTGAAATTTTAAGGGGATGTTCCCAGCTCATGTACAACTTAAAGTCGTCAAATTCAGCACCCAGGCGTATGTGGTTCTCACGTACGGCCCTGTGAAATTTTTTGGCGGAAAAATAGCTAACTTAAGAACTAAGAAAGCTGGGAGGCCAGACTTTTAAGGGGATGTCCCCTGCACATGTACAACTTATCAAATACAGTCACCAAACGTGTGTAGTTCTCACACGCGGCCCCGTAAGAATTTCTGGCGGGAAGAATTGCTAACTCGGGAACAAGGAAAGGTGGGAAGCTGAAATTTTAAAGGGAGGAAAATTACTAACTCGGCAACCAGAAGAGCTGGAAGGCTGAAATTTCAGGCAGATGTTTCCTGTCCATGTGCAATTTAAAAATGTCAAATTCAGCTTTCCAAGCATGCGGAGTACCCAAATGCGCGTATGTGAAGGTTTTGGCGGGGGAATTGCTAAGTCGGTAACAAGAAAGTCGGTAACCAGAAAGGCTGGAAAGCTGAAATTTTGAAGGAATGTTCTCTGTCCAAGTACAGCACAAATATTTCAAATTCAGCCCCAGGCTGTGCGTGGTACTCACGTAAGGGCGTAAGAAAGTTTCTGCGGGAAAATTTTAATTCGAGGACCAGAAAAGCTAAAAAGTTGAAGTTTTAGGGGGAAGTTCCCCGTTCAAGTACAACTTAAGCATTTCAAATTCAGCCTTGAGGTATGCGTGGTTTTTACGTAAGGGCGGTTAAAAGTCTTGACGAAAAAATTTCTCACTGAACAACCAAGTTACTTTTAAAGAACGACTGTTAAATGAAAATTATACATTACGTTGCAAAATTTATGGTGATTAATGCTAGTGACTGCAAAAGGTAGGTAGGTGTAAGGCAACAGCCATTCATGCAGTTAATGACCTGAGTAATTAAAGTCCGGTGCAAAAACGCATGATCGCACGGGCCCGCCCGGTGCGTTTTAGCCTGGGTCTGCATTGCATAGCTGCAAAAAACGCATAAACACGATCGCTGAACGAAAATTGCTATTTTCGTTTATGTAAAATTTACGATGATTTGCGGTATTGAGCACATAAGGTAGATGCGAAGCAGCAACTATCCTTGCAATTAACCTAATTACTTAAAGTTTGGTGCAGAGATGCATGATCGCATCGGCAAGCCCGGCGCATTTCAACCTGGGTATTAACGCCCGAATATTCACTGGAAAGACGACCAGGCTTCATGCAAAAAATTAATGATCATGCACGCTGGTGGTCCACGTGGCTCCATAATGCAACACCATCACCCCATGCAGGAAGAGGCCAAACGCAGCCCATATCAGTCCAAACATTAAACTACAATGTAGGCACCATTCCTGTTATTATCTGCGAGCTTAGCGCAAAAATGCGTAATCGAGCCGGCAAGCTTGGTGCGCTGCAGCCTGGGTTGCATTTGCATAAGGTGCAAAAACGCATAAAAATCGGAATGAGGTTGGAGTCATAATAGTTTTAGTGTTTAAGTGTGTGCTTCTTGATGAAGTCTTGCAAGCACTGTTCACAAAACTACAACTGTAGAAAATGCCTTTCAAGTTAAAGGTAGGTTAACATAGCAGCACGAGGCGCTTTTATTTTCCCATGTCATTGCATTGTAAATCCAGTAATTAGTGCGTAGGTTACAGTTACTAAGCCCAGGATGACATACTGGTAACGTGGGAAGATGAAGGAAGAGAAAGATAAACACAAAAAATATGAGTTAGGGAAAGCCCAGATGTTAGGAAAAAAGAGCAACGTGGTATGATAAGTTGGAACAATCTGGGGAAACAGAGTTCACAGTTGGGTGGAAAGAGCGAAGCAACTAGAGAATCCCACATTTGCATGAAACTTGGAAATTAGAGTTTCGGTTATCAGTACATCTTCGGTCCTCCACAGCCAAATCATAAAGGACCATCATCACCCATGCAATCATGTGTATCTCCGCGTGCATCCTCAGATGCGGATATCGTTCTGAGGTTTGTTGTTTCATTAAGCAGCTTTTGGAACAGCTGCAGAAGCAGGAGGAAGGACACAGCTGTGCGGGCATCAAGTTCATTGCGTTATTCAGTGAGCTGTAATGCCAGCTGCTGGTCCGACGTATCTGCGTGGCGGTGGCAGTGATGAGCAGCAGCAGCAACAGCAGTATCCTGATTTCAAGGATCCTGCACCGCCATTGGTTGCTGAATATAATCTGCATGTTACTGGGCTGCGCGAGCGACGGTTATGGATGCTGCTCATTTGTTTGGCTGTACTTACCGTTATAACACTCATTGTGCTATTCGTAAGCCATTTTCACTTTTTATGCGTTTTTGCATATTTCGAAATGCAAAAACGTGCACTGACAAGACGAGGCTGTCTGTGTGTGTGTTCGCACTTTTTGTCATCCACTTTCAGCTCGTTTATTCTCTTCAGTTGCGTACTCTCGGGTTCGGTACATTAGCAAGGTAATGATCCGAGTAAAGACTGAATGATGGGATCCCCTCTCTGACCTGGGTCTTTGAGTACCGGGCTTGCAGTAGTCTTTTAAAAACCGTGTCGCTACATCGAATTCGCATAAATGAACCGTGGAGACGTCGATGATGTAGAATTGCAGGTGCTCCGATAAGCTGCATTTCACATTCTGGTTTTCCGGCTCTTCGGTTTTGCCTTGATTAATGCTACGTTTCTTGCTGGTTAGCCTGCTGAATATGATAAGGTCCGGTCGTCCATTGAATTGGTAGATACACTTGACAGTCCATAAGATGTGGTAAAACGCAAGACGCTGCATCCAGCCGGAAGCTCGAAAGACAAAACTGCTTAGAAAACTATTCCAGTTCTAGAGAATGTGTTCTGGCATTTGCACTCTACATATTTAAAGGTAGCTGTTTGTACTGCGCAATGCGAGTATGTCATTTCAATTCTATATCTGAGATTTTCCCGTTTTTGCAAAATAGATAGATGGATGTTTTCTGCTTATGCAGGGACGTTTTCTGCTTATGCTTAGCAAACTTAAACTTAGCTCTCAAGTGTGACGAGGTTTCACGTATGACCACGTGAATGTTTTGATGCGAAACTTACTCGGAAACCAGAAGACTAGGAAGCTGAAATGTAGGAACAATGTCCACCGTCCATGGTTTCAAATTCAGCTTTCACGTACGTCTGCGTTCCATGAATTGGTACGTGAGATTTTTACTGGGAACTTCCGCGTCTCAGAAACGAAATAGCATATCGATTATTTTTTCACAGACCGAAGTGTAAAACAGTGAAAATCCTTGGAAGGCAAACATTTGCCGGTCGAAACTTTGCAAAACTCACGATCATATCGGCTACTCTGTTGTGCGTCGCCACTTATGTTCGTAGCGACTAGCGCTCACTGATGATGCATGGCGTCTCGTGTCCGCGACTCACTCTCGTATTTTAAATTCGACTTTCAAGCGCAGCTGGGCACGTTTCAAACGTTATAGATATTTTTTGCTTTGAAAGCAATTGCTGCTGGGGACTTATCGCAAAAGTCGTGCAGATGCATGGCCGTATGACAAGCTTGATAGCTGAGTACATACAATTAAATACAAGTAATTTTCAGTGAAAAAATTACGCATACTTCGGAGATAATTCTAATGACTTGCTTGTAGGTGGGTTGTTGTAAAATCAGTATGCAGCATCTGCGGAAAAGAATAGAGCTGCGCCGATAAGCCCTGACATGACAATATTTGTTATGCGTTTTTTGCAGCTATGCAGTGCAAAAAACGCATATTGACGAGAGGTTGTCTGTGTGTGTG